TTAAGGGTCCCACATGTAGAGCAATGCTTGTGGTGGGATACCCTTTTCCACATAGGCCTATTTTGAAAAAAAGTGATATGTAAAAAGTATATTTATATTGGGACATTTGGGAATAATAAATTGAATTGAATTGTATTATTTTCTGGAACAGCATGTCAACTTATATTGAAGCTCTGGATATTTGGTCCACCCTTTAAAAGGCATGTCAATAATAACAATAATAAATGAATAAAATAAATCTTCGAAAATCCAAAAAATTAGTTTAACTTATTTATGGGCTTTTATTTATTTGTTTATGGCTTTTTTTTATGGTTGCTCTTTTCTTGTCTGCTGTTAACTCTTTCTTTTTGTATCTTCTCTTATTTTCAATGGGACCCCTCAGGAAACAAACCTTTGGGTTTAGAGGGTTATCCTTTGCTCTCCTCCCCCTTGCCTTTTCTTCTTCTTGGTTTCCTTTTGATGTTCTGTCCTTTGGTGCTTGTAAACCTCGTTCTTGTTTCCTTTTTCTGTTTTTCCTTTTCGGTTTTTCGTTACTGTTTTTGAAAGATTTTTTTTTTATGTTTCTCCTTCTGCGCTTTGCCTTTTTCTTTTAATTTCTTTTTTAATTGATTATGGTGAATAATGTAATTTGTTTTTTTGTTTAATTTTGTTAGAAATTGGTTGCTCTTTGATTATGTATGAAAGAGAAAGAAATAAAAACAAACAAACATAAGAATGGTTTGTTGGTTTATATAAGTATAGCCTATATAATGATGATATGCTCGTTGAAATTTATGTAATGAGATTTTTGTATATAGTTTTTTTTTTTAAATAATGGTTTTATTACTTTGTAATTAATTACCGTAGTATTTCATATAATTTACTATTTTAAGCAGTGGCGAGGTATTCGTGCATTTAGACAATCCTTCCATAGAACCTTTGTGGTTTCTGTCATTTTACGAAATAAATGATATATCAGGACTTGCAAAATTAATATTTTTGGCTATATTAAATATATAAAATCATATACGCCTATAAAAACTAGTTTAAAATTTGTTTTCTAACATTTCGGTATCCATCCACGCGCTTTGCCAAAGTAATAGGCCTGTGACTCATTTATTTAGCAGGCCATTTATGTGCTTTTCGAGATCATAATCAAATAAAGAGGTATAATATTGACATTTTCATTTTAGCAACTGAAAAGCGTTTATTTTTGAGTATGTTTTTTAGGGGTCGTTTATTCGAGGGAGGCGTTTATTCGAGGGAGGCGTTTATTTGATGGAGGCATTTATTGTTTTTGGTGTAAAATGGATAAGTTTTTACTCAAACAAACACCCTTTAATTTCATTGTGAATGTGGAACTCCGAGCAATAAATTACATCAAAATGTGTTCCCAGTTAACAATATTAAATTATAATAACGTTACATTTTGTTTTATTCTCATAGATTTAAAACTTAAAATATAACGCTTGAATATAACGTTCATATAACGTTATTAACAAATTAGGCCTATATTAAAACGTAATTATTTGGTGTTTATTAAAATAACGAAATTGTTGGTGTTAAAGCTGTCTTTATATACCGTTCTAAGAACGTCTTTTTGTAGAACTATAGTTACATACGTACATATAACGTTCAATCATTATGTTTATGTAACGTCATAACAAACTTAATAACGTAACATACTTGGGCGTCTTTATATAGCTTCCTATGAACGTATATTTGTAGAACAATATTGACGAATTCATAACGTAAAATATAACGCTCAAATAATAGGTTAAAGAGACGTTGTTATTAAACAAATTTAAAATGTTATAACGTTTAAATAATATTATCACGTTGTAATAATATTATAGACTGCTGTTTAAAAAATGCCTTTATATAACGTTGTAAGGACGTATTTTTGTTGAACCATATTTACGTATTTATAACTTAATATATAATGTTCAAATATTACCTTTAGGTTAAATCATAAACGTTGCAAAATAACGTTTATAAAACCTTATAAAAACGCAAAGTTAGTTGCTTTGAACGTTTTTATAATCAAACTGAAACGTTATTATAACGTTACATAAACGTAATATTTGAAGGTTATATTTTAAGTTATAAATACGTAATAATGGTTTTTCAAATACGTTCATTAGCAACTAACTGTTTTACGTTTTTATAGCGTTTTTTAAACGATATGTTGGAACGATTATTGCTACATGAATGTAATGTTTGAAAGTTTTATCAATTTGTGGTATTCTGATCTTTAGACAATATTTATAGACGGGTGGCCAGCCATTGGATTGTGTTCAAAGTGCTCAAAAAAGAAAGAAAAAACCAATAGGCTGTTGCCACGCTGAATTTTAAATTTTAAATGTTTGGCATCATACTAAGCTATTGAAATTATCTATGATGGATATGATGAGACATTATGTTAATTTTATGACTGATATATTATCAAAAAACATATTCTTTATTACATTTTTGGCTATATTTAATAAAACATGTTTTATTAAAATACAAAAAATGCTAAGCTGAAAACGACCACATACACATAAGGCACCTATACGCAAACAACGAAACCATTCATTACCTAAAATTGTTACTCAGAAGCTTCTAAATGAGAGGTTATGTTTTGCTGTTCTATTTTGTATATATACTTATGCTAGTTTAGTTTACCTTGTGCTGTGTTTTAATTATTTGTCTTTTTATAATTTAAGTCAATATTCTGTTTCTGATGTTTTAACGTGTTTTTATTTGTATGCTTCTCCTGTTTTGAGGTATTTTTTGAATAAAATAAATTTTTAAAAAATTTAAAAAAATGAAATATACAATGCTCGGACATTATCCGTGTTGTATTCCAGAATTTTTTATAGTACGTGAAAGTTTGTCTTGCAAATTTTACACTTTTTTACCCCAAAACGCTATTTTGAGTCTAGTACGTTACTAAAAGATTCAATTTGAACATATTTGGTATCATATAAAAGCTATCTAAATTATCTATCAAAAGGTGTGTATGATGATACATTATATTTATGTTGTGACCCAAAATGTACCAAAAGAAACTTATTTTTAATTACTTATATTTAATAAGAATACATGTTTTATTTTTTTAAATACTAAGCTAAACCAACTTTTTGTCTGGTACTTTCTCAAAACAAAAAACAAAAAAACGGATGAATTCACATCACTAGCCATTGGTTCACATTGATTGAGCTGCTGCCACGCTGAATTTTGAATTTTGGTGCCAAATTGACCAATGTTCCGCACCCACATTAAGTACAACGTTCCAGATGGCTCTCCCTGGTTTCATCATAGGCCTACGTATCTTAACAACCAACCAACTATTTTGTCTATCCCAAATTTTCCCACTCCCATACTCCATGCTCTTTTAAGCATTGCCACATACCTCATTTTAGTTCAGTTGCCTCCGGGTATCTTCATCATAGTTACCAACCGTCTCGCATCGTGCGGGAAATTCTCGCATTTCGAAGTGATTTTGGATGAAACACGCATTTTGCAGAAACACATGCGTGATCCATAAATTTGTCGCGCATTTATCACAAGTCAATGCTTGATAATAAGATGATAACTTTTAATAAGAGTTCTATAAAATATGCGAAAACCGATTGTTGTTGTAAGTTTCAAAAGAAATAATGAAAAACCTCAGAAGATTACGACTACACACGAATATTAGGACCACTAATATTGGGAAAAAAATCACTACATTCATTTAGACTAGAAATGTAGTTTGTGTGTGATCAGAACCTTTCTGTCCATGGAGGAAATACTCGTCATAGATGAGTTTCTTTTCACAAACTCTATCTCGTTCACGACGCAAAATTCTAGCACATGCAGAAACTACATAATTTTGGGCACGGCGTCTCAGAGTTGGCACCGTGGGTTTACGAAAGGGCCAAATGCAGTTGGCGCTTATAAAAATAATTTTGGCGTGGCGCTTTCAATGCCCGTTCCCATGTTACATATCCCATTCCTGTAATTCAGTAGGCCTATCATAGGTCCTACGTCATCGTAAATATACGTTTATAAAAGAAATGCTTGTGTCTTCATTGTGTTATTAATTCATTTTAACACGGTATTTGAAGTCCTCTTCATCCCCCTTTCGGACATACATGTAAGGCTGCAACAAAGTTCCTCCACTGTTTATTCTTGGCCATCTTCTTTGTTGTTTCCCATTTCAGATTCTCAGTTTCTAATTCAGACAAAATTGTTCCTCGCCATGCATTTTTTGGTCTGCCCCTGATCCTTTTCCCTTGTGAAGTCCATCTGAGTGCTACTTTTGGGATATGATGTTGTGTCATTCTGAGGACATGGCCCAACCACCTCATTCTTCGGCGCTGTTTCTGTTACAATATTTTGACAATGAGTTTTTTGAGTTTTCACACTGTATACAATGTATTAAAAACCCTGTTTCTCATTATACACAGGGTGATAATACTCCCGATTAAGCGCCGCGGCGCTTATGCCAAAAAGTCAGGTTTGGTGCGGCGCTTATTCGAGAGCTGTGCCACTTATTCTTGCATTTACGGTACTTTATATTTCTCTATTTCTCTTCAGTTTTCTTTTGATTCTCAGTTATTTATAAATCACTTGCTTCTTTCCAATCACTTTACTTAGAATAGAAAAGACTTTTACTCGTTTCTTATCTCTTACCTCATCGAAATCAAGGAGAGCAAGACAGGACCTATACTTTCTTTATACATTTCTTGATTTACATTTTAATTGTATCTTGTCTCTATGTTTATTAGACAATAAACACACATTTTGTAACTCGTGTAAACCGGTAGAATTTCTATCTACTAAATATTTTGTCAGCGTTCAAATTTCTGTTATTGTTATACAGTATTATAATAATGATAGACAAATAATGTATTCAGTATTTAGAATTTTGTTACGTCATAATTTATTTTTGTACACAGGGAAAGTTAATTTGCATACAACACATGTTAGTTAAAAAAAAAGAAGAATATTTACAACTTCGTACCGTCACGTCATTCATGTCTGAATGCTCTTATCCATGTACATTATGTTTTGTGCTAATTTACTGTACAACGTACTCTCATAAGCCAGTGTTGGCTGGCCTTTGAATAAGGGTGAGACGTTGATAAACACAGCCTACTACTACTACAACCATTTACGTCATACGTTGCGATTTTCCTAAAGTAAACCTATGTAAAAAACGTAACTTCTAAACTTCAGTCGAACCCACTTATTATTATCATTACCTGTACTATAAAAACAAAAAATACTAGTATTAAATATAACACGTTGCGAATTTCCTGAAGTAAACATATGTACAAAACGTAACTTCTAAACTTGAATCGAACCCAATTATTATTATCATTACCTGTGCTATAAAAACGAAAAATACTAGTATCAAATATTACAGAGAGTATTTGCATTATGGTTATTATGTATTGTTTGCGGTTTTCACTACTAATTTTAATATCCCATAAAATGTTTTATTAATGATAACAGTATACTGCATTGTAATTCTGTCTAGTGTATCTTATCTATCACATTTTATAACTCAAAACTACTATCAAAATTAACAAAAATATATAATTACTTACACCATAGCTTAATATTCGTACATAATTACTGCGTATTGCGTGTCATGTAACATTTAATTTTCTCCCAGCTAAAAGAAAATATGTTGCCGGTTTAAACACTCAATGTAGCTCATTGAAGTGTTATGATGACTGACTATTCTGTTGCTATACACACTTACTATGGAATTACCTGCCCCTTAAAGTTCGCAATTCCCTCTCTTTCTACATTTTTAAAACAGTCTAGAAACGAATATTTTTAACATTTCAATTCTGTTTCATCACTAAAGAGTGCAATGCGACTTTGCTTATGGGCTAAATATATTACTAAATAGGCCTACTGTAAGTGCTACTTTAAAAAATAAGCTAGATAATCTGAAAATGTTGCAAACAAGGGCTTTTCTTTTTTTAAATACACAAATAATAAGTAGATACAATTTCAGAAATCACACCATGGTCACATGTCACGTTGAAATGCAAATATAGCTTAAATATGCAAATAAATTAAAAACAAGCTTGGTTTATACATTATTTTATACATGATTTAATGCTGTTAAATACGCCCATAATACAGATTGATGTTTCATTGCCCTTATTTAGGCCTATTGTTTAATTGTAGGCCTATAGATTCACAAAATTTACAGCATTCATTTGGAAAAGAAGCCCAACTCTTTACTTTGCACAAGTAGTCTCGAAAAGAAGCTTATCATGAAAAGTAGCCCATCTCGAAAAGAAACCCAAAACAAACAAAACAATAAAACTGAATTTGTATTGTTTTAATACATTTCAATTTCTTTAAAGCTTTCATTCTGGGGTAGGAGGTCCAGTTACAATGCTATTCTGCACCCCCAAGCAGTGGTGGAGTCAGTTTTGTTTACACTGGATAAGGCCAAAACATGCCCATTGCGGCGTCGTGCAGGCAGAATCTCCAAAATGGAAAATTCCTCTGTGGTAGTATACGCGCGAAACACACTAACACGTGGGCGAGACGAGAGACACACTAAACACGAGGGCGAGACAAGGCAAGATGTCCAATTGATCGAAAGAAATGACACGCAATTAAAACATAAATCATAAAAGAAAGCAAGTATATGCTAAAATAATAGGCAAACAACTCAATCATTAAAGCCATTGCACATGAAGTATCATGGGGGTATTTGTATCGAACAAGCCTCTCACCTATAATAATTCTCTTAGCAGCAGCATCAGTTGTGATCAGTATGCAGTGCGTGTCTAATATTGTGGGAGCAACCTACTTGTGAGAACGTTTCTCACAGATTCACTGTTACTAGACAACTTGGTATTTTTATTTATTTATTCAACTGAACATACACTTTTGTTGCAGTGGCACACAACAATTTATTGCGTTCAATGAGAAAGAAAAAACAAACTAAAAGAAATTAAAAGTTATACAAAACAATTATACAATAACAGTATACAGTACTGTTTTGGTGTTAAAGCAAAATCCAATAAAATAAAAAATAAAAAACAACATTACAGTAGTAATACTAATTTTTTTTTTAAGTTAAAAAATTATTACGTTATTAAGATACAGATAAGCACATTTAAAAAAATCATTTCAAATCAAAACACAGCAACACAAAAGATAATAATGACCTTTCTTTCCACAGGTTTTTAGACAATGATTTGCTAAATTTATCAATTTCCACAATAATTTCGTTTTTATATAATTCATTTTCATTGCCAAAAATAAAATATACTTTTTCTGTAATATTTAAAGAAAAAAAATTTAAATTTATTCCAAACGTGGTGAAAGTTTAGTGATTGGAGATTATTTTTAAAGTGTAATATTTCCCTCCTTATTATGATGCCTATTTAAAGCAGTACAGTATTTCCATTCATGACAAAGGAAAATGAATTAATTGTAATTTCTTACTGAATTGAATATTTTTTCGCTGTATTTTCCCTTGCTAATGTGAAAAAAAATCATAAAAAATAAGTTTGAAAAAAAACTTGCTCATTTTGCAATAACATACAAATTATTAACTTGTGCATAGAAATTTTTGAATTTAAAAAATGTGTACCCTGATTTTTAAACCAACAAATTAATAAAAATAATAAAACACTTCCAGTGACTGAAAGTTTTTCTATCATTTTTCGCTGTAAATTGATGGGTAGACATTTTTTAAAACATTAATTTCTATGTTCAAGTTGAAAACTTTTATGTTACATCAAAATGGGCAAGTTAATTTCAAAAAATATTTTTTATGATTTTTTTTTGTCAACCAAATCAGCCATTGAACAACAACACGCGACTTCCAAAAACAAATAGTTTTTATGACAATATTTTCATGTTTTTTTGTCCGTACTAATGTTTTGGCTAGGCTTCCAGAGATAAGAGATAAGATTTGTCCATGGTAGTCCCTAGAGTCGCATACATCACATTTTAGACAGTTAGGCGACACCGAAAACTCATCAGCATTCAATTGCCTTACCATACGGTTTGTAGTTTTTCGGGAGTAGGGGTTATTTACTGTCCTTAGTTATGTCTTAATATTTGTCAAAATAGAAAAACCAATAAATAAGTCACGACATCATATCATCATCATGCTGCCTGATTTCTGGAAAGTCATGTTTGCCTGTTTACAAACTTTTGATACGTAGCGTAACACATACACACATACACACACACAGGCGCACCACCATGAAAGTGTTGCGCGACACCAAGTCGAATGGAAAGGATCCTATCGTTAATAGGAACAAAAAAAAAATTGTTTGAAAATGTTCAAATCATCTAGTCTACTGTTTAAAAGGGGCTTGCTCTCTATTTTTTTTTTTACATATTTAAGCTAATTTGCATATTATGAACAAGGCATGTGACCACGGTGTGACTTGTGAAATGTTATCCACTCAACACGTGTTCATTTATAAATGAAAATCCCTTGTTACCATATGTTCAGATAGCTTACTGTTTATTGTGGAGCGTAAAATTTTAAAAAGGACGTGGCCCCTATTTTTGGAATATTTAAGCTAATTTGCATTTGATTTTATCCCCTCAGCACATATGTTCATTTATAAAAGAAAAGAAAACCGTTATTTGCAAAATGTTCAGATTGTCTAGCATACTATTAAATACTGCTTCAAATAACATGGAGGCGTGGTCTTTTTTATTTTCATATTTAAGCTAATTTGCAAATGAACGGGTCATGTGACCATGGTCTGATTTTCGAAATGCTATCCCCTCATCATATGTGTTCGTTTATAAAAGAAAAACTCTTGTTTTCAATGTATTCAAATTGTTTAGCATACGCTTCAAATAAAAAAGGAGGCGTAGCCCCTATTTTGCATCTTTCAGCTATTAATTTCCATATGAACGGGACTTATGATTAAGTTGTTGCCACTGTATAAACATAGGGTTAGAAATATTATACTTTTAAAAAGATAAGAGTATCTGTTTTATCCACAAATGATGATATAAGTCTATTTCATTTTAGTAAAACTCCGAAATTTCCTTATTATAATCACGTTAGCAATCTCGTTATTGCTATTAACGTCCTAATATTTTTGCTGCCTTGCTCATTCCATTTTCCATCAATAACTCAATAAAACGCGCCATATTTTCCATGATATCCTGTTTTATTAGTGCCAATATTAGGAGCCATGGATCATTTTCATGTACGTCTTCACCTATGTTATTTTTTTTACCAATAGTCCCAATAGACTCCAAATCCAAATATTTACCAAATAAGATCAAGTTTTGATATAAAGAGAAAAAACCCTTTATTTTAAAATCCTCACCAAATTCAAAATATTTAAATCTCTCAATTTTATTAATTCCTAATTGGACACCTTCAAGGCCACAAATCTGAACAGCCTCAAAAACGATCTCATAGTCTGGTCTGTTGAGCGCACCGATTCCCTTTAGTATTTTAAATAAACTCCTTACATTCGTCGCTTTTTCTAGTTCCGCCTTACCCACTTTTGGAATAAACTGATGAAGTAAAATCTTTAGCGTGTTGATACTTCCGTACTCCTCCCACCACTCTGACACAACGTTCAGCAGACGGTCTTCTACATCATCTTGGGTATTACAAGAATAATTTAAAACAAGTTTTAATCGTTGATAGATCTATATCTTGATGGTAATGTGGTAATTTTATGTATGGTTCCAATATCTTTGCTCTTTGTTTTGTTACCTCCCTGTATTACTGTATAACAGGATTTAAACATATATATTGTTTCAATTCAATTATATTGTTTTACGTACGTTATTACGGTATTATTTGTTATATAATTACGAAACCATACCACAGAACATGTTCAATTACACCTCAAGATCAAGTATGTTTTCCTTTTTCACTACGAGGAGCATTTAAAAAGATTCATGTGAATTTTTGAAGATATATTTAAATACCCCCTCCGATACGTATTGTAGGTATGTGTGCATTTGTTTATCCCATTGTTCAATAGTAAACTATCTTACCTTCGACCTGTTGTATGCCTACTAAGCTGGAAGGATGGTCGGCACCTGTAAAAAATATTTCACCATTAACTTGTATAATATGTAAAGAACCTTTTGTCAGTTAACAATGTTATTTTACTTTCCCATGTTTCCATTCCATGAGTAAAATATCATTTACTGTTGCAATTATATATATATATATATATACTGTCTCTTATACACA